CTACACTCTTAGACCACATGTCCTGCAACAGGTTAACTTATTTTAAGCTTTGATTTTAATTTTACTATATCCAAGAAATTAATTTAGGTAGACCTTTTTAAGTGATGCCATCCTAAGAGGCCTACCCAAGAAGGGCTGAAAAGTACTTCCTTGCATGCCTTCTAGAAGGGCTTATCCATTTACAATTTGCGCGAATACATAAATTTATATTATCTAACATTACAAATGAATTCCAATAAAAATTGTGAGTTACAATAACACATATTTGATATAAACCTTAAGCAAATACTTCAAAGTATGATTTTTATAAATTAAAGAAGCAACTTTAAAGAACTCCTCCAAAAGGCCTTCTGAAGTACGTCCTATAAAAGCCCTTCTGGAAGGCCTTCTATGGGTAGCGAAAGAGGAAGCCCTTCAATTTGTGCCACTCCATACAAAAAAGAAAAGAGAAAGGAATGTAGAGTGGAAGGCTCTTGATTCTCAGGAAGGCCTTTCGGAAGTGCTTTTAACTCCTGAAATTATCTACGGGGCCCAGAAAATAATTTAGGTAGGCCTTCTTAAGTGAAGCCATCCTAAGAGGCCTACCCAAGAAGGGCTGAAAAAGTACTTCCTTGCATGTCTTCTAGAAGGGCTTATCCATTTACAATTTACGCGAATACATAAATTTATATTATCTAACATTTCAAATGAATTCCAATAAAAATTTTAAGTTACAATAACACATATTTGATATCAACTTTAAGCAAATACTTCAATAGTGATTTTTATTAATTAAAGAAGCAACTTTCAAGAACTCCTCCAAAAGGCCTATAAAAGCCCTTCTGGAAGGAATTCTATGGGTAGCGAAAGAGGAAGCCCTTCAATTTGTGCCACTTCATACAAAAAAGAAAGGAATGTAGAGTGGAAGGCCTCTTGATTCTCAGGAAGGCCTTTCGGAAGTGCTTTTGGGCCTGTTCGAGGCACGCAATAAAAGCAGCAACACTGAAGCACTGATGAAAATTTGTAGGACTGTTGCAACTTCCTAATTAATAAAAGGTTGCTAGAAATTCACAGCGAACATGATGCTTCATTAATTTGCGCAACACTGCGGTTGTGATTGCAACTCGAAAAAAACCTTTCACTCCTAAAATTATCTACGGGGATATTAATTTTGCAATACATATTGCAAATGTATATGCGTGAATATATATGGTCAAATGACTAATAAATAAATAAATAAAGTTATACGAAATTTTACCTAATCGCCTGTTTAAAGAGCCGTTTAATTGTAGAAAACCACCCCAAGTGAAACACCGTCTGCGTTTTGGTCAGTCCCACTTTTTATTTCGGTCCGTTTATATCTAACAAAATTTAATAATTTTATTTTGATAATTCCAGCCGCATTAAGATACATTAAGACTGCATATTTTTGCATTACAAAGTTGTTCTTAAAAAGAAGTTGATATCAATTAATTATGAAATTGTATAGTTTTTATCAACGCATCCTGTATGTGTTATGCTCATGAACATCTGATAGTTCGCCCTTAAAATGGACATCAATAACAAAGTCTAAATCCCTATTATTGCGTTCATTTGGCTTCATTTTAAATATTCCTGCAATTTCTTCACCCTTTTTAACTGTAAGATAATCATCTAGGTAGAACACTGTTTGCTTCCAGTGAGTGTATGTAGCCTCAGGTGATGTACTAAAGCCTAAACGTTTATGACATTTTGTAAATTCTATATTGAAATATGTAACCAGCGCTTGTACAAAATCATTTCTCTTAATAATGAGGTTAAACGGTGATGAAAATTCCAAGTCTTCTTTTTTAACAGTATATAAATCTACTTCTTTAATCAGATAGGATGTAGCAACAATTTGTTTTGGATCTACAACATCAACAAGAGGTTCTGTTACTGCAACTTTCCGAATGCAACTCATATCAAAGCCGTAAACATCATCCCACCAATTAATTTTTTCATCTTTATATTGCCGGTCTTCTATTGCTGTTATATATAAAGTTCCGCGATCTGGAAACATCATACCATCAGGTTTCAGCCATTTGTCACGTGCATGCAGTACTGTATCCAGCATCGATTCGTAGAACAAACAATATCTAATATGTTCCACAAGTTTAAATCAAATAAGTTTTTCTTAAATAAGTAATAATCACTTACCCCATCCATTCCGATATAATTATATCCACCTTTTCAATACCAGAAGGTAACTCAATTTCTTCTATCTTCCCTTTTACTACACTGATGACATCTTGCAGATTATTGTCTATGACAACTTGTCGCGCATACTCGACGATATTTGAACAATCTACGGCAATAACTTTAATTGCACCAGCCTTAGCTGCGAACATCGATAATATACCAGTTCCACAGCCGACATCAAGGACAACCTTAAAAAATGCGACTTGGCTTATTGGCTTAAAAAAATTAAAAGTATGAAGAACTCACTTTGCCTCGGAATAAATGTTTATTATGATACATAGCATTCCGATATGTAATAGTTCGAACTTCATCTTTAAGCATCTCTTCGTGAATACCAAAATGGGCATAGGAATCGAAGTAATAGTCCCTCGATGTCATTTCTTCCGCCGTTGCTGACGAATTAACACAATATGATTTCATATTATTTGAGATAGAAGCTTCATCACTATTAGACTTGATGGATGCGCCGAGATTCACTATCACGCCGTCACACTTGAATATAATATATTGATGTCAACGCTATGCTACATAATAACGTTAATATTTCTCACCATTTTCCGACTAACTGCTTACCCTTACAAATTATTTTCTTAATACTTTTGTGCTTCCAAGGATGTTGGCAATAACATTTACTTTGATAGTCGATAGTCTACTAAGCACACGTTTTTTGTGGTTGTAAAATTAGCAAACAATGTCCCGTCTCACCGCATGTTGCCCATTTTTTTGCAAATGCCAAAAATGATGAAAGCTACCATGGCGCGATGTTTGGTTATTTCCTTAAAACACAGGGTTACTTTTTCAAAGCCATTATAACCTTATTCTGGGTCTCTACCAACAGACTCGTCTGTTAAACTCCCAGCAGCCGGACTAACTTTCGCTATCGCTAACGCCGCGTTTACGTTAGACAATGCTGTCAAGACAATAAAGAAATACGTATTAGTAGTCAAAATCGCTGATAATTGTCTCCGTAAGCGTAGGCGTCCTGACAATAGTTATGAAAATTCATTTTGGGCAAAATGGTGGACGTGCACATTATATTATACTACGCATTTCGCGCGAGCTATTTAAGCTATAGATAAAAAAATTATAAAGAAGAGACAAAGTTTCATACACATTAGCGTCCCTTGTGTTATTTTAGTTCTTTTGTTATGCATTTCTCTTCTTTCTTGCATAAGACGTCAAATTTATTGTCTGCATACGTCAAATCATCGTCCGATTTACTGAAAATAATCAAGACAGTGATTGGGAAAATTGGAAAAGTATGCATGTATTAGTAAATAGTGTCCATGTACTGCTATTGGGCCTCCGCACACTGGACTGCTCAGTTCGCTTAAAACCGGTTTTTTGTGGATAAGAGGGGGAAGAGGGTTTGAGTTTACCTCGCTCATTTCAGTCCGGGAAAATCGCGGAATGTCGGTGGACCGACACGCACACATAGACAACATGTTTTCTATTTCTTTTTGTTTGCATGTGCCACATGCACCAACACAATCATGGGCAGTTCATGTATACAAATGTTTTCGGAAGACTGCCCAGTCCAGTGTGCTTTCGACTGAGCAGGCTAGTGTGGTCAGGCCCATTGTCATGACCAGGCATGGGCAGAGAACGAGCATACGCTCAAAGACCGTAAACATCGCGTGTACGTATACAAATAAGAGCGTAACGATGAGAACGCGACAGCATGCAAAATGAATTAGGCACACTAACACATTCTCACCTTTAGCTAACGCTTGTTTGGGGTAGTGCCCACCTCTGGTCATGACAGTATTGTCCGGTGTAAACCCTGAAGCGCCACGGAGACGATCAAATATCTTTATCAACGCTTTAAGTGTATTGGTGTAGTCGGCTTTTGTCGGCTACACGTACACTACACCGACTTGTTGTCGGTTATGCTTGATGAAATTCAAAAAATTTTAATATTTGAATTTGATGACTGTTTATTTGACCGCCTCGCGTTGAGCTTGAGAAAAAACAAGCTCACTTGCCTGCTGGTCGTCGTGGTGAGTAAGCGTGCGGACAAGAAAAAAAAATTGATTTAGGTTTAAATTGAGCATTACAATGCTTACCACCTTTATGAAATGTAATAATTATTAATTTATAGCATATACCATATAAAATTATGCCATAAATGATATAATAATTAACAATAAATACTCATCCGATGACAACATGTTAACAATCGAACGATGCATATTCACAATATAAAGTGGTGATAGCGCATTTATTTGAACGTTTGCGGCCAAGACGCAAGCGAACCTCACTAAGGCAGTCTGCACAGAGTTCGTATAGCTTTAGACGCGCATAAAAATATGTATGCAGCAACGATTCCTCTACGCCTCAAGATCTGCACACTAAGCAACTTCAAAGCGTCAAAGTATCAGGCAAAAATTGTCATGTCATGCAAAATTATTATATCTTTAATTGATTTTCAGTTATTTTTCTATTATTTGCACGAACTTTATTATTTTATCGTTTTTTTAATGAAATCCATGCACGCACACGGAACATTTTAAACAAACTTCTTCTTCTTTCTCTTTTCTAAGCGTACGTACGCCTAGCTACCAACACTGCTGTACCGCAAGCGATTTGCAACTAGCTTGCTTTGACGAATTCGCGAAGCTGACGACTCTTATACAGCCCTCCTTTTAAATGCACGTGTGCGTCATCAAAGCGTACAAGTTTCGTATGTAGTATCTAATACGCGTCTAAAGCTATACGACCCGTGTGCAGACTGCCTAACGCAAACGCAATGCTTGACATATTTATTTGATTATCTCCGTGGCGCTTAAGTTTTACTGCCCGTCTCCACAGGATAAAGTTTATATCTTGATACATATGTCAGAATATAATTTGCCAATGGAGACCGCTTATTGCTCTTCGAGAGCAATATATAACAGAGCTTATATCTTGCCATCTATTGTCGGCAATTTGGTAGTTTGACAGCTTCATTTTCATTTGCACCAAAACTTTGTGGCTGCAACATCATTATTATTTTAATATAAAAGCAAAAATTCAGCTGCTTCCTGTTAAAATATTTGTAATTATGTATTTGGGTGTAAAATAGCCTATTTTCTAATTTTTTTAAGCTATTAAATCCGGCAAAAATACGTTTTCGGAGCTATCTTACAAATGCTTATATCAAGATATAAAAAGCCCACACAAATATTGCCACTGATATAAATTATATCTAGCTACCAAAATGACAGCTGGGCAGCAATAAATTTTATCCTATGGAGACAAGAATGATAGAATACAAGATTGCGCCAATCGAGCTGAGAGCAACTGGCCGTGACTTCAAAATATACCAGAATGAGAGAGCAAGGCAAACTCGACAAGAAAAAGAGGAAGCATCGAACAAAAGGCAGTGTTGCCAAGTTTTGAATTTGAAAAAGCACCAAATTTTTATTGGTGTATTTTATGGACTTTATATGAATACATAATTTTATTGTAAGGATGCCGATTCAAATTAATACAAATCAATGGCGCATATTCATAGTCATATTTAGTATTCAACTAAGTCGAAACTATTCTAAGTCACAACTAAAGCTATTCATAGTCGCCTTAGTTTCGACTTTTCTGGCTAAGTACCAACTTGAAATTTAGTTTCGGCTGCAGCTGCAACAAAGTCGTAACTAGGAAGAAGTATTTTATCAAATTAAGGGAAAACAGGCGAAATATGTAAAAATTTAATTGGTAGAGGGTGATTTTGATAATATTGAATAATCTCCAATTAAAATTTACAAGGATCGATCCATTTTAATCGGAAGATGAAATTAAATGCGTATTACAATTCGAATAAAGCTACATCACAATTTTATATTTGGAATAATTTAGATAAATTCTCAAATAATAAGTTAGTTTCACGCTAGTTCCTTTAAAGTAAATTTGTGCATAACATTTAGATATCTACTATTTGTATGTTTCACAGCATGCTTTCGATAAACATCGACTTCACATCACTGCGGTAGTTCTGGCTATTTCACCCAATTAACAAGAAAATGAGACCTAATTCTTTTGCATAATCGTGCAATGAAATTAAAAATTACATAAACGGATGATCAAACTTGATATTAATTAATAAAAACTTAATTTTTCCAAAATATCGTAAAGAAAAATCGATACATTTTCACACTCGTTTTGCTATATCGTAAACTAAGTCGAAACTACTTAGTAGAAGTCTGAAATGCGACTATGAATAGAGGTAAATTTTAAGTTGGTACTTAAATTTAAGTTGCAACTTTGTTAGTTTCGATTTAGTTGCTGGACTATGAATACGCGTCATTGTTTCTTGCACAACGGTCGATTTCTTCCGGCATGATTGAAGTTGCTGCACATATTTTGTTGTCGTTTATGATTGTCAGTGTGCCATGATTTTGTTAAAATTTTTGTAAAATTGCTTACCACACTTACGATTGCTATAAATTTTGCTTCCATTTTTCAAGATTTTCTAATTTGATGTCTTCAAACTAAAAACAAAAGCACCAAAAACGCAACAAGCACAAAACTCAAAAATTTTCGCGTTTTGAATACCCACTAAATTTTGTACGAAAAGCATGAAGTTGGCAACAGTGAATGTAAACAAAAGTATCTTATGACGTCAGCGATTGGGTGGATGCTGTCAAATCGACAAAGAGAGGGTTAGCGGTTCGCGAATGGCGCGACCTTTATTTTCTGGATCGTGCTATGGAGACGGCCAGTTAAACTCCATCGCCAAAAAACGCTATTTAATCTTACCGGCCGTCTTCACGTGCTGGCAAATCTCGCTTGCGTGAGGACGCATGCGAGACCCCGCACGTGTAGACACCAAAAAGTATGAATATACTTTTTCCCGCATACCCAGCGGCTTGCAAGATCTCGCATGCTTCCAACCATGATACAAAACAGAAGGTAGTTTCATTGCTAGTTACTATTTTTTGGTTATGAAGGAGATTTTTTACATTTCTCCAGACATAAACATTAAGCATAGCGTTGCCACATTTAAATTTTTTTAAGGGAGATTTTCTTTTAATTTTTTTGGTTTCAACAATTAAAAAAAAGCAAGTTTTTGTGTTCGATAATCAAATTTGAAGGTTTTTCTCAAGCGTTTAAAATATTGAATAATATCGATGTGCACAGATGAAGAAATAAAATCAAATCCAGTTTTGACACATTTATTTACTAAAAATCGTTTTTTCATTTTACTTAAATTTACATAGCAAAACTCTTTTTTTTAATAGTCCGAAGAAGATGTATTGTTAGATATTTCGTCATTAAAGCATAGTCCGGAACCAGGCTTCGGAGAAGGTTGAATGGCCTCATTGTCCTCACAAATAAAGGAGTTACAATTCAGAATTCTCCCGAAGTGAAGTGTCTAGGAGTATGATGTAATGTGGAACGATTTTCCGTCATCCCTTGTCAAATTTGGTTTCGTTCGAAAAATGACACTGAAGATGGCAAAACGCCGAAACCGGTTTGACTCCAAACCCACATTACATCACACTCCTACCCTGCCGGAAACACTAACAACGAAAATGAGAATATCTATTTTCATGGAAATATAACGTGGAACACAAAACCTCTAAAGAACTGGGAGCATTTTAGCAAAACGTGGGGTGTGTCACCATAGGGAACCCTCTGGATTTATACCTCTATAATCAGACCCTTAATTGGCTATGCGGCAGTGGTATGTTGGAGCAGATTCTCAATCAAGAACGTGCGAAGTCTGCTTGCTAAGCTTCAAGGAATTACTGCCGTGTGCTGTACGGAAGCTTTCTCTACAACACGTGGCGTTGTTCTTGATAAACTGCCGCACTTACCGTCATTTTGTGTCTTCATACGTGGTGAAGCTTTAAAGGCCACTTGGAGAC